GCCCGGAGCCAGTGACAGCATGACGTGTGCAGCTCACTGGCTTCTGAAAGGAGGCTACCTGGAGCCCAGGCCGGGACTACAGACCTCTCCTCCACTCTGGCCTCACCGCGAGGAAGAGCCAGAGAGAAACAGGAAGCAGTGTCCTCACCTAAGGAAGGGGCAGCTGTAAACATCTGGGAAGCTTTTCCATCATCTCGTTTCTCTGAGAAGCTGCTGCAGAGTCGCTCCCCAGGAGGGAGACCCCCTCTGCCTCCCCAAACACGCTCCTGTGACCCAAGGAACCCGAGGGCTGGGGCTCCTGGCGGACGATCGATCCAAGTGGCAGCACCACCGTCCCCACCAGACGCTCAATCACTTCCAGAGCCTCAACACAACCGCACCGGGTCCAGCAGCGGATGAGGGACCTGCAGTGCGTCGTGGGTCCTCCTCCCCAGGTTGGGGGCAGTTTAAACTTTGCCATTGGCAACGACCAAGGACGTCACGTACGTTCCCGCCCCCCTGCCCCTTGCCCCGGCGCTGACCAGACGCGCATCACTCAGCGGTAACAACACAACCAGGACAAAGAAGTCAACCGTACGGATGATCTCCACGCGCCATAGAGTTGGTTCAACAACGGCACTGGACGACTTCGTGTTCACTTTACCTAGCGGCGCTTGGTGCGGTCGACTTAAAAGTCTTAACGCTTTTTGGGGTGGTTTCTTTTTTTTTGGTGGGGACCAAAGAAAAAACTCTCTTTTGGAAAAAACCTTTTCTGACACAGCATCATTCCCCGGAACGAGCCTGGGTCACTGTTGTATCTTAAAAACAAAAAGCACAGCAAGAACAGAGGTAGGACTTAATATTGCCATCCAAGGGTTTCCCCGCGAGGGCCTGAATGAGCTAGGAACGTGCGTGTGGCGACGGAGCCATCTCGGCTCCTGTTCTTTCGCACGATGCCAAGGGAGTACTTTCGATGTGTCTGCACATCTGTATATGCTTTTTTAAAACAGGATTCTTCCTGAAACCACAGGACCTGGGGAATCAGGGTTTTGTATCTACTGGCCGACGGCTTCTGGCTCTCCAGGGCCACACAGCTGGCTTCTTCCCCCTTTCTTCTTGGGCTACATTATTTTTTGTCTCTTCCCCTCCTCTCTGTGGCAAGAGGGGGAAAGTTCGAGCGTCCACTGTTTAGGAGAAATCAAGATACAAGGGGCTGACCAAAACTCCCAGTGAAACGCACGAGGGATCACGTGATGGCATCCGTCCAAATGCAGCAAGAGGCGGGTCAGCTCCTGCTCAGCCACAAGGGGCTTCTCAAGTTTTCTGAAGCGGGTTTCCCTGATGGCGGAGAGGCTGCAGCTGGGTTCCTTGGGTTTGCCCGGGGCTCACAAGGGAAGGAAGACTCGCCCAACTTAGCGTCCCGGGAGTCGGCGAGGGTGGACGCGTCCGCCTCACCGGACAGGTCCTCTGTCGAGAAGTTGAGACTTCCGAGCTTGGCCAGAGAGTGTGAGCGTTTCAGCGGGGAGGAAACGGTGAGGCCCGCCAGCCGGAGGCGGGTCTCGATCTCCTGCGTCCGCTGCTTCACGAGCCCGGGCTTGCCTCGGACGCTGTGGATGCTGTCGCTGCTGGAGCTCCGGGTCAGGTTGGAGCTCATGGAGGAGGAGGTGGGGGTGTAGCAGATCGTCTTCAGGAAGTCTTTTGAGAAATGACTGGTGTGATCGAGGCGGCAGAGGAAGGGGGTGGGACTCTTGAGTGGGGCTCCTTCAAGTGGAGCGGGGAGGGCCTCTGACTTCTCGTCACTCCCAGAGAGGCGAGGCAGCGGCAGGGGCCCCGGCGGAGCGGGGTTCTCCTCGGGGATGCTGGCCTCCAGCCTGCTGGTCGTGCCGTCCCTGGAGGGAGAAGCCGGGTCTGCGGGCGTGCCCTTTAACCTCTCCAGTTCTTTGGTGTGCTTCCGGACCAAGCCCGCCTTCTGCAGCTGAATGATGGATTCCTGGTGCTGCATCAAGTAGCTGTTGGTGGTTGGTTTCTCAGCTTCTTTACTGAACAGAAGCCGCAGGTCCTTGGCTGGCTTCGGATCTTTCTTGGGTGGGGATTCATCCTTCGCCACTTCCATGCTTGGAGGGTTCTTATCACAGTGAGAGTTCTTCAAAAGGAGGGACTTTGGCAGGGCTCTTTGGGTTTCTCTGGAAGGTTCCGAAAGGCTAGCCGGTAGCTCTGGGGCAGCTTCAGCCCCAGAGCCACCACCGTCTGACCTCCTCGAGCCTGCTGGTGGTAGGAAAGGGGGACTTTCGCTTGGGCCAGAGGCCAGTCTCTCTAAAGCTCGGGCCCTGCTGGACGTGTAGGCCACAGGGGAAGATGTGAGGTGGGGCAGGAAGGTCGGCTGGGTACAGATGGCGGGGGCACCGGGGTTCTCGCCCCGCTCCCTGAAGGCCTCAGGAGCCCCGCTGGCTGTAGGGTACATGCAGTCGGCACAGGATTTGTAGGAAGGCTTCACCTTGTTAAGGATCCCGAATATAGCATCGTGCTGAAAGGAGACGAGAATGCGGTGAGTATACGGTAACGGGCCAGCGGCCACAGAACACGAGGAGGGCGTGGGGTGGGGCTGGGGCAGGCACTGGAGAGGGAGCCCCCGCTTCAGCCAGTGCAGGAACAGAGGCCTCTCAGAACCCCCTGGGCCATGAACAGTGGTGGTTAGGGATGCCGAACCAAACTTTCCAGAAGCTACGTGCCCACGATCCCGGGGAAATCTCCGGCCACACAGCCAGCAGGGCGGTCAGGAGCAAGGCCTGCTCAACCCCACCTCCGCCATCTCACGTGGATGCCTCCCCCGTCCTTTCCCTCTCGGAACAAATCTGTGCTTGGGGAGTATGTGGCCTGCAAACGGGGCTCTGCCCTTCTAGCATGAATACAGCACGGCTCCAAAGAACCACCATGTAGCTGTGGACTCTGGTCTTCACAGTGAGGTGGCAAAGGGCAAAAATGGCTTTGGAAAGACCCTCTTAATCTTACCCACCCAAATACGGGTGCCCATAGTCTCGGATGAGGGAGCCATGCTGAGGTGTTTCTTTTTGTTTGTTTGTTTATTTATTTGGGGGGAGGGGCAGAGAGCGAGGGAGACAGAGGACCGGAAGCGGGCTCTGCACTGCGAGCACAGAGCCTGACACAGGGCTCAAACTCACGAACCACGAGATCAGGACCTGAGCCGAGGTCAGACGCTTAAGGGACTGAGCCACCCAGGTGCCCCTAAGGTGCGTTTTACGTACCAAGGGAGAACACATTTGCGATGTTTTCTGAGGAAAACCACCTGCCTCTAGGTCAGTGTGACCTGTGCCTCCACACTGTGCCCTTCTGATGGGCAGGGCACCTACTCACCTCCCTCATGTGCCCATAGGGCTGCTCCTATGGGCGGCGGTGGGGGAGGCCGACCCTCACCCCGACAGTGGTTTAGCTGTGAGATTCCCAAGCTGGTCTGAAACAAAGGCTTTTTGGCGAAGGGCTGATATTGTAGGTTTCTCCCTGTGTCCTGCCACTGGCCCTGACCGTCAAGGATTAATCCCATCCGGTGTCACAGACGTAGGTCCCCCAAGCTAAGAAGTCACGGGGTAGTCCAGTCCTGGAGGAATCCTAAAGAAACCCAGCCATGATTCCTCGAGGCTGCAGGGGAGCATATGGAGAGCGTGCGGTGGGGGAGGCGGGGGGGGGCCTGGTCTCCCTCGGAATCCTAGCCTACTCAGGACTCCTGGGGCCGGCTTCCAGGTCAACCAGTGAGACCAGATCACTTCCGACCTACAGCCTGAACTCGCAACCCGGAACTCTGACCAAAGTTTTCTTCTAAAACCTTCAGGACCTAACGTTCTAACACGTGGTGAAATGATCCCATGGTGGGAGATTTAAGACCACCTTTCGAAGACCGAGGAGCAACAGGCTGGGAGAGAAGTCACTCGTCCAGCTCCTACTTAGGGAGCACCTGTCACACATCGTGAGCTGTATCAGGCGCAGGGGCTGCAAACAAGACATGGTCCCCGCCCTCAGAGGGTCTACTGTCTTCTAGTGAAAACGGACCAGGACGCTGAATGAAGGGATAGTCTTACAGATGAACCCTCACCAACCTGGAACCATAGCTCACAAACAAGAGTTGTGTGTCTTGGTCCTATTCCCTTGATCACGTCACCCGTTCAATCAAATTCTGGCCAGGGAAGGCAGGCTGTGTCCTTCACGTACCTTCTTACCCAAGCTGCTCGTCTCCTCCATTCTGCGACTCACCCCATGCCCTCTGAGACTGATGGAGGCACTACTGTCCTGGGAAGAGGTCTTATGTCCTCTCTCTTTATGGGTATTTGCTCTTTGAGGGAAGGGGGAGTGGCGGGAGAAATTCCTGAGTCAGGAACATGGCGTCTGGAATGTTTTATCGTTTGGAGGTCGGTGGTGGGTCGGCCCTACTTCATTCGTATTAAAAGGTGGCCAAGGCAAACCCTCTGTACGGGGGATGCTGGCACCTGCCGGCTTCCCGAGTGCTCTCGCCGTGGCGAGCCAGCGCAGAGTGAGGGGGGATGCCGAGAGTGGGCGGCACGGGACACCCCCCACCAACCCATCCTCAGCCCCTGGGCCGCTCGGAGGAGGAAAAAGCCTGGTGGAATTAATGATTTTCTGAGCGAGCGCCAGCTTGCCAAGACCTTGCTGCAGAAACCCACCACACAGGAGAGCCACAGGGGACTGCTGGAGTCGAGCATCCGAACAGTAGTCGGAAGACCAGACCCATGATGATATGGAACAATTCCCACCGGTTTCTTAGAGGTGATATTGTGGTCGTGTCTCCACTGAAGTGACACATCTGGGATTTGTTTCAAGACAATTCAGAGTGTGGGGAAGTGAGGGAGGGTGTGAAATAAGAATGGTCTTGTGTTGATCAACGTGAAGCTGGGTGCTGAGTCTTGCTTTCCATTTTATGTAAGAAAGAAATCGAGGGGCGTCTGGGTGGCTTAGTCAGTTGAGCGTCTGACTTCCTGATCTCAGCTCAGATCATGACCTCACAGTTTGTGAGCTGGAGCCCCGTGCTGGGCCCCACGATGACAGCACAGAGCCTGCTTGAGATTCTCTCTCTACTCTTCCCTGACTTGCTCTCTGTACCTCTCTCAAAATAAATAAAAAAGAAAGGAAAGAAGGAAGTCGAGCTGGAGGCGCAGCCCGAGCCGAGCTGTGACTGAGCGCCCCGCAGACCCCCGACCTGGGCACGCCTGCCCCTCCCCTCCGATGGCACCCACTGGCAGGGGGGCAGGACGGGCCAGCCCCGCGCCCACCTCGAAGTCCTCCGGACAGCTCCTCTTGCTGTTGTTGTTGTTCAGGTTTTCCCGGTCGAGCAGGCTTTGGTCCAGCTGGGGCGGGGGCCGCCCCCACCGCCCTGCTCCCGGGGCCTCCTCCCCTTCCATCTCCTCCACCTGGGGCGACCAGCCACTCCGGGCCTTGGGGCTCCCGAACTCCAGCTTCTTCTTCACCTCCTTCTCGCAGGGTCCAGAAGCTTCCTGGGGATGTGCGGCCAGCCTGTGTGCCTCAGTCGCCTCGGCTGCTTCCTCCAGGAGGGCGTCCCTCTCCAGGTCCTCCAGGTGGACCACGCTGCGGGTCTCGCCGCTGGGGGGATGCAGGAGGGGGTCTGAGAGTCGCCGGAAGCAGCAGGGGAGGGCAGCTCCTCCTGGGGCCCTGCTGTCTGGGAACCCAGGCTGGGCAGCGTCATCCAGGCAGGGCAGCTGGGCCTCTGGGGTGCCGTCCAGGGTCTCCGGCAAGAAGTCCCCAGACCCTGTGGGGTCCTCCATGGGCGGCTGGAGGCAGGTGTCGCCCTGCTGGCGCCACAGCTTGTTGTGTCGTTGTTTGCTGCGGGGGAGGAAGGGCAGAGGAAAGTCAGAGGGGGCCAGTGCCCGGAGGGTCCCCGGAAGAGGGGTTGCGGGGGGAGCCGGTGAGGGACAGCCCGAGGCCGACAGAGGTATCACTAGGACCCTCAGCCACTGGGGCGCACCTCAGGAGCCTTAATTGGCTTTGTCACACGGGAACTCTGTGGCGGGTAACGTGAAAGCAGTGTAGACCCTAAGAATCAACACAGTCTTGGGGTCCCGTGTCATTCTGTGAACTTAGCCACTCTACTGCGTGTTTCATCTCCGTCTCGCCATCTGTCAATGAGGATGAGAATCCTCTCCTCCCCACACCGTAGGGAGGCAGTGAGGACGGCAACAGACAGCACATACAGATCTCACGCTGACCTGACTTGTAAACACAGAATGTGCGCTAACTTGGGGCCATCTGAAAAAACTGGAAATCTGTATTTAGGTCAGAAAGATTACACGTGGGCCCCTGGGCGGCTCAGTTGGTTAAGCATCTGACTCTTGGTTTCGGCTCAGGTCTCGATCTCGCGGTTTATGAGTTCAAGCCCCGCACTGGGCTCTCGGCTGACAGTGTGGAGCCTGCTTCAGATCCTCTGGACCCCGCCCTCCACCCCTTCCCCACTCGCGTGTGCGCGCTCTCTCTCTCAAAAATAAACATTTAAAACTAGGTCTTATAAAACTGTAGTAGTATTGTTATAACACATTTTTAAAAAATGTTTACTTAGAGAGAGAGAGAATGGGTGAGTGCAGGAGAGGGGCAGAGACAGTGGAGGGAGAGAGAAATCCCGAGCAGAGCCCGACGTGGGACTCGAGCTCACAAACCATGAGATCATGACGTGAGCCGAAATCAAGAGCTGGACACTTAACTGACGGAGCCACCCAGGTGCCCCCGTTATAACACATTTTTAATGTAAGGATGAAAAAAAAAAAGAGTAAGACAAAAGTTTAATGTGAAATAAGGTAAGTCAGTCACCTCCACGCACCTTAGGGCGACAGTAGCCAACAGCATGCGGGTTACAGCGAGAGAAGTAAACATAAGAGGACAGCGTGAACTAAGGCCCTGATGTCCGACAGTGCACGGGAGCACCACGGCCATTCGTGACGGCTCTGTGTGCGCATTCAGGCAAGGCCGAGAGGGCCCCCAGATGGGGCTGCGAGTCACGGTCGGTGCCTTGTGGCTGTGAACTCAGCCTGAAGACCCCTGGTGAGGCTGCAAACTCCTGATGGTGCAGCAAGTGACTGAAGGGCCAAGGGAGAGAGCAGGACCACCCACCTCTTTCCCTCCCTCGCCTCCTCCCCCTCCTCCCCCCAAACCCCTCCTCATCGTCCCTGGGCCCTGCCCGGGGATCTGTCCAGCTGCTCCCTGGTTGACAGCAAAGGGACTCCAGAGACATCTAGGGCTGTCCTCAGACCCCGTTCAACCCTGCCGGAGCACTCCTGCTTTCTCACACGTGGCCAAGAAGCCAGTGGACTCAGCTTGTGGCCTCCTCACAATACCAGTCAGAAATAATCCAGGGAGGCTCCAACCCGCCAGAACAGAAGGGAGTCCCAGAGTCCAGCGGGGATCCGCCTTCACGGGGCCTCCCCACACAGGAGCCTTGGGAGCCCACGGACTTGGGGAGTGCTCCCTCCCCTCTGCCGTGCACCCTCGCGCCTGTGGGACAAGCTAACCTCGCGCACCTGTTCCTCCTCCCTCCCCCCCTCCCCCCCAACATGGGGGATAACCTGTACTCTGCAGACCTTTTCTGGACGGGGGTTAGAGATTTCAAATGTCACCGTGGGCCAGCTATGGCAAAGCACCTGCAAGGGCGAACTTGTGCACTGTTCACACAAATCTCAGAACAACCCTATCAGGGAGGCTTTAATCCCAAACTCAGAAGAGGACACCGAGGCTCGAGGCTTGGGGAGATGGGCGAGCTCGCCCTGAGGGGCCCAGCTGGTCAGCACCGGGAGTATCTGCTCTGCAGCCCTGGGAACCGCC